GAAGCCTAAGGAGGGGCTACGGGACCCTCTAATCTGTAGCCAGTTAGTAGCACAGTAACAGTTCGGACTTAACAGTTCGGTCTCTGAAGTAGAGGGCAGTCTTGGGAGAGGAGCCTTTATCTGGTCCTATCTCCAAGGAGATCATGAAGGAGAAGTTAGGAAAAGGGTATAGGCGATCCTTTAGGAACAGGTGCCCCAAGTCCCAAGTTCATTCATTAGCCTGCTTGAGAAACAACTGCAGACCAGGAAGCCTCCCCACCAATTCAATTAAAAAAGGCATGTTCAAAACAGCAATATAATAACACAATAGCAATGGACGCTGGTTTCCAAATATAAGCTGGGTAATGTGGGAAAACTCTGGGCTTCTGTAGCTTAGGAGACCCCCATGGGCCCAGCCAATCAGCAAGAGATACAACACAGAACACAGGGACACCCAACAGCCAAACCCTGCTCCTTGCCCACTGTACACATATAAGCACCTGCTTCTCACCTCCTCAGTGGCTACCTCCTCAGAACTCCTCACCGTTCAGAGAGTTTCTGTCCTTACTCTTACCTAACAATAAATCTCTTGCCCTTTGGGGGGGGGAACTTTAAAAAAATTTTATTTATTTATGCATACAAAAACTGGAGCACAGGCCAGACGTATGGGGTTGAGAGGAACCACCAGAGACAGAGTAGGGAGCAGAACAGGCAGATTGACTTGAAATACACTGCTGAGGGTGCAGCGGTCAAGACAGGAAAGGTCTATGCCATGTGGGTCACCTCACAAACCAAGGATCCAACTCCTGCTTGAATGAACTCATGCTGCCTCTCCACAGTGCTGAGCTCCAAACCCTTCCACCACCAGGGAGGCCCCAAAATCTCTTGCTTTTCTATAACTTTGGTCTTGATGTTGAATTCTTTCCTGGTTAAAGTCAAGAACCAAGAAAGAACTGCCTGTGGTCCTCTTACTATGGGCCTGTTCCCAAACCCCGACTCAATAGTGTCAGAAATGAACTGAATTCTCAGACACCCCACAGGGAATGGCTTGCCAGTATGGGACAACTTCCACACATACGTGTG